TGTACTATCCGAGGAGCTAGAGGGAGTTAAATGGTATATAATAGGGCTCAGTGAGGTTAGGAAGACAGATGAGGCCTATACGGTGCTACAGAATGGGCACGTCCTTTGCTATCGGGGCTTGGCTGACAGAAGAGAACTGGGAGTGGGGTTCCTAATTCACAGAAACATAGCTGGCAACATAGAGGAATATTATAGCTTTAATGAAAGGGTGGTAGGTATCGTAATTAAACTGAATAAGAGATACAAGATGAAGGTGGTACAGGCTTACGCGCCTACATCCAGCCATAATGACGCTTCAGTTGAAAGCTTCTATGAAGACGTGGAATCGGCAATGAGTAAGGTAAAAACGCAGTATACAATACTGATGGGAGACTTTAATGAAAAGGTAGCGAAGAAGCAGACTGGAGACCAGGCAGTAGGAGATTATGGCATCGGTACTAGAAACGCCAGAGGAGAGCTACTAGTAGAATTCGCAGAATGCAATAATTTACGGATTTTGAATACCTTCTACCGAAAACGAGGAAACCGCAAGTGAACATGGAGGAGCCCTAATGTCGAAAATAAGAACGAAATAGACTTGCACACCCAGGCATCATGCACACCCAGGCATCGTGCAGGATGTGGAAGTGGTTGGCAAGATACGATGCAGTGACCATAGAATGGTACGGTCTCGAATTCGCCTAAACGTGAGGAAGGAACGACAGAAACTGATACGCAAGAAGCCAATCAATGAGCAAGCACTGAGAGGGAAAGTACAAGGATTCAGAGTCCTGCTTCAGAACAGGCACTCGGCTCTTAGTGAGGAAACCAACCTTAGCATAGATACAATGAATGATAATCTGACGAGTATCATTACGGAGTGTGCAGCGGAAGTTGTAGGCAGGGTAGTTAGACAGGACACTGGCAAGCTTTTCCAGGAAACGAAGAATCTCATTAGGAAGCGTCAAATCATGAAAGTCTCAAGTGCAACAGACAAAATAAAACTGGCAGAGCTTTCTAAGTTGATTAATAGGCGTCAGGTATCCGCTGTAAGAAGATATAACATAGAGAGAATTGAACACGCTCTGAAAAACGGAGGAAGCATCAAAGCAGTGAAGAGTAAACTTAGGATAGGCAAAAATCGGATGTATGCACTAAGGGAGAAAGAAGGCAAAATAACTACCAATATGGATAGGATAGTCGAAATAGTGGAGGAGATTTACAGAGATCTGTACAATAGCCGGGACAACCATGACTTTAATACTATAAGAACTAGCAGTAACCCAAATGACACCCCACCAGTAATGATAGAATAAATCAGAAAAGCTTTGGAGAGCATGCAAAGAGGCAAAGCTGCTGGTGAGGATCAGGTAACATCAGATCTGCTGAAAGATGGAGGACAGATTGTGTTAGTAAAACTAGTCTTCCTGTTTACGAGGTGTCTCCTGACGGGAAGAGTACCAAAGTCTTGGAAGAATGCTAACATCCTCTTAACACATAAGAAAGGAGATGACAAGGACTTGAAGAATTACAGGCCGATTAGCTTGCTCTCTGTAGTATACAAGCTATTTACAGAGGTAATTGCTAACAGAGTGAAGAAAACATTAGAATTCAATCAACCAAAGGAACATGTAGGATTTTGAACAGGTTACTCAACAATCGACCACATTCATACGATCAATCAGGTAATAGAGAAATGCTCAGAATATAAACTACCACTATACATAGCCTTCATAGATTATGAGAAGGCGTTTGATTCAGTAGAAATATCAGCCGTCATGCAGACACTCCGGAATCAGGGCGTCGATGAACTCTATATAAACATCCTAGAAGAAATCTACAAGGGATCAACTGCTACCATAGTGCTTCATAAAGAAAGCAACAGAATACCAATCAAGAAGGGTGTAAGGCAGGGGGACACAATCTCCCCAATGCTATTTACCGCGTGCTTACAGGAGGTTTTCAGAGGCCTAGAATGGGAACAGTTAGGGATAAGAGTTAATGGAGAGTACCGTAGTAACCTGCGCTTCGCCGATGACATTGCATTGCTGAGTAACTCAGGGGACGAATTGCAACTCATGATTACGGAGTTAGACAAGGAAAGCAAAAAGGTGGGTCTTAAAATGAATCTGCAGAAAACGAAAGTAATGTACAACAACCTCGGAAAAGAGCAGCGCTTCGAGATAGGTAATAGTGCACTTCAAGTTGTAAAAGACTATGTCTACTTAGGGCAGGTCATAACCGCGGAGCCGAACGACGAGATTGAAGTAACTAGAAGAATAAGAATGGGGTGGAGCACGTTTGGCAAGCACTCTCAAATTATGACAGGTAGATTGCCACTATCTCTCAAGAGAAAGGTATATAACAGCTGTATCTTGCCGGTACTTAGCTATGGAGCAGAAACCTGGAGACTTACAAAGAGGGTTCAGCTTAAATCGAGGACGACGCAGCGAGTAATGGAAAGAAAAATGGTAGGTGTAACCTTAAGAGACAAGAAGAGAGCAGAGTGGATTAGGGAACAAACGGGGGTTAAGGATATCGTAGCTGAAATGAAGAAGAAGAAATGGACATGGGCCAGGCATGTAGCACGTAGACAGGATAACCGGTGGTCGTTAAGGGTAAGTAACTGGATTCCCAGAGAAGGCAAGCGGGTTAGGGGGCGACAGAAGGTTAAGTAGGTAGATGAGATTAACAAGTTTGCGGGTATAAATTGGCAGCAGCAAGCACAGGGCCGGGTCAACTGGCGGAATATGGGAGAGGCCTTTGTCCTGCAGTGGACGTAGTCAGGTTGTTGTTGATGATGATGATGATGATACGTTTGCCTATAAAATAAATGACGCCTCCTAAGGGAGTACTGCAGGAAAAGAAGATCATCATAGTGATCTTATTATTTGTCAACTGTGGAGCGAAGATATTTTACAATGATCTACATTAGGTCTTCTGTCTGTGAACTATTCACTTTTTAGGTGCGCAAGTTTTTTTTTTAAATTTCATCCCTCCTCCCGAATTCCTGCGTATTTCTTGGCAACGTTTTTACTCTCTTAGGACCAATTCTTTAGTTATCTGACCATTCGTTATCTAGCCTTCAAATTATGTGGCTTGGAAAGTTTCCTTTCTTTCTCACCTTCAACAAGGGTATCAACTTATTCTTTTGGCTTTCTGAGCTGCTGTGCTCCTTTCGAAGCTTTTGAAGAACGATGAAAATAAAAAAAACACAGAAGGAGAACTTATGAAATATAAGCCAGTGATGGTTGTAGAACACTCACCAAGGAAGTCATGAAGAAAAACGGGCTGATCCCATGCACAGTGGCCATCGACATGTGAAGCACGAATAAGGAAGATTGATACGTCACTTCGAAATCAGCACAACGCTCGCGGTCGTTTAGCTAGCTTCACATATACCAAATTTGGTATTACTAAACGTTAATGGATGATGAAGGTACAGTCTTTATTGCTCTTAAGAAAAATCTCGGAACGTATAAATCATGGTGTGGCCAGCGCTGCAATAAAGTACCGGCTTCAGTTCGTGCATGCGTAGACTCTTGAAGGGCCATAGTATTGAACCATGTCATCTGCTATGGCGGCTCGCGAATACAGCGTTGGCCGCGCCACGTGTTATGCGATCTGAGATTTCCCCTGAATGTGAAATATACTGGACATGACTGATGCAACCATGATACTCACCGAGATGCGTGTCATGTAGGAACATGACTACATGCCCCGCTCTTGATGTGCTCGTGGCCATTTAGCTAGCTTTACGTATACCAGATTTGGTGTTACGTGACCTCAATGCATACCGAAAGCCCATCACTGGCGAAAACATGATAATCACGACAGGAGTGTTCTGTAAGAACATCAAAACATACTACGCTCATGATACGCCCGTGGCCCTTTCGCTAGTTTGACATACACCAAATTTGGTATTACGAGACGCGAATGAACGACAAAAGCGAATGACACGTCGAAACATAGTATTCATTATATACATGTCACGTAAAACATGACTACATGCTGCGCTCATAGCGCACTCGCAGCCGTTTCGACCTATGCCAAATTTGGTATCAGGTGACATGAATAGAATACGAAGGTGAATGACACGTCCAAGCATGATTGATGGTCATGGCATGGAAGTCATGTACGGCATAATTTAAGTCCGTTTCGTAACGTTATGCTGATATTAAAGTTGCATATCAGCTTTTCTCATTTGTGCTTCGCATATCATCGATTTCCACAGGACGTAAGATCTGCCAATTTTCTTTCTCTGCATGTTTTCTGACTAAAGGTATGTAATAATAATAATAATAATAATAATAATAATAATAATAATAATAATAATAATAATAATAATAATAATAATAATAATAATATAATGCAAATACCAGTGATCTAGATTTCTGGCCTACACGTTACGGTTATGACGGTGTCTCTTAGCCCGAAAAAAATTATAATATTATTAACGATAAGAAACGAACCTCAGTTTCCAAGAGCACAAAGCAAAAAAATGGCCTGCCAGACATAAAGAATAACAATGAGAAGGGTTATTGTGAAGGTACCTCTGTGACAAGCGGCAAACATGGTAACAAGTAGGAGAAAATCATGGCGGGTACTTGAAAGAAACCAGACGGCCTTGCGCGAAACACACCGCTGATACAAAAGAGAAGCCATTAAGAGAATACTATCGATGCAGTTTCTTCCACCGCCAAGCTCGTCAATGACATAGCACGTGCGGTCACGCGAGCTCTCTCGATAGGCATCCATGCAGGTAGTGTTTGCGCGGCTTTCAAACTCCTGCGGTCGGTGTGTTATGAAAGCTGGCCACAAGTATACCGCGACGTTGGAACACCCATATGCGATACAGAGCCCACTGGCGCGGCCCATTTGTTCGTGACCTGTGCGTTGCCACTCGAGATTATCCTCTGCGTAGAAAGAAACGTCAGATAACATTGCGACAATGGTATCGAGGCCGATATGTGGGTTAAAGCTCACGCGGAAGAGAAAACGAATGATGAGCATAACAAAAACACGGATGCTTAGAGTCAGCAATTGCATTACTTGAGGGCAGTGTGTCAGTGCAATACAGGACGGCGTCCCAGCCAGCTTGAAGACTGCAGCCATGGGTCTGTGGTTCGCCGTAGCGTTCATCGCGTTTGCGTTGACACTTTTGATTCGGTAAGCTGCCCTGCTTAAGTAAAAGGGCTCGAGATAACTACATTGTCTGTTTTGCTTTCAATATTCTTCCCCTCACCTACAACGGCACATGCCACAGTGTAAATATGCTTAGTACAATCTTTTGTTGATGCATAACACGAATGCTTCGATTAAGAAAGGAAGTATGAGAGGGCTGCCACGCACGAATTACATACCATGAAAAAAAAATTGGCAGCATATCCTCGGAGTGAATGATGGAGAGTGGGGCGAAGCACTCTTCCGTCCATTCGTTCTTACTTCCGTCCACCCATGCGTCCGTCTGTGTGACCGTCCATGCGTCCATCCGCCCGTCCGTGCGTGCGTCTGTTCGTGCGTCCGTCCATGCGTTCATCCATGCATCCGCCCCTGCGTCCGTTCATGCGTCCATCCATGCATGTGTCCGTTCGTCCATCTATTCAACACTCCATACCACCATCTCGCATCTTTGCATCGTATATTCCCCATATAGAAGCACCGCCATCCAGCGGACATTCCAAGGACTAAAGAAGAGGTGGCACACGCACACTTTCTTACGGCTTGCGCTTCGGGTCTACTTCCCACCTTTAATAACCTCGAGTTTATGGTATATACTAGTTCACTGTATTCATTGCACTGCGGACCAACGCTCGCTTAACCTTTCTAAAACCAAGGAGGTTACACCCAGCGAGTATAGCGTAGCAACCTTTTCCTATCAGATAGTGCTCAATGTACATTCCGATCGCTGATAATGGGAAATGAGAGACAGGAGAATTAGGCTTTTACTTTCTCACGGCTTGCGCTTCGTATCTTCTTCCCAGCTTTAACCACCTCGAGTTCATTCATGGTATATACTAGTTCATTGTATTCATGGCACTGCGGCTCAACGCTCGCTAAACATTTCTAAAACTAAGGAGGTTACACCCAGCGAGTATAACCTAGCAACCCTTTTTTGTCAGATAGTGCTCAATGTGCATGCCAATGGCTGCTAAATAGGATTGCAGCGTGAGCTTTAACTAAAAGCCGAATGCTCCTGTCTCTCATACTCCATAATCAGCCATTGTGATGTACATTTAGTATTATTTTTTATTGTTCAACAACGCACAGAAGCAATCTCTCACCGGCACCACCTTGGAGGTCAAAATGTTATACTTGTTACATACTACTGTAGCGGCGAGAGAAGGAGAGACGTGAGATGACTTCGAAGGCGGCCGATGGGGCCGTGCCGATCTCGCCACTTTATTCTAGGCCTGAAGCGGAGCCACGTCGGCTACCAGCATCCGCCACGCCAGGCGTGTCAGCTCGTTCTGATCTCGCGCAGCTCGAGCTCGCGCCAGTTGCGCGAGAGACGCGGCGCGGTGATGGAAAAAATGACGATGGTGATGATGGCACTACAGGGCTCCCCCCCTAGCGCTTTGCGCGATTTGAACGCATATGAAAAAAAGAAAGAGGGCGACAAATGCTATGTACATGAACGGCAGTCCATAAAGTGTTCCTTTGGCAAGTCCAGTTTGTCAACGTTTATAGGCCATCGGTAAGCAGTGTGTCTCTGGTGGGCGACTCTGGGAGTTGCGCAGAGGACGCAGGAGGAAGTGCCGGGTCGCTGTGGTAGCCGACAAGCGGGTCTCACGGTGACCTGGTCGGAAAGGCCGAGAGTTGACCGTGTGTCGCGAGGTCATGACAGGATGGTGGGTGACAATGTTGGCACTGGGTGCAGAGGACACTATACTGCCGCCTGTCGAGATTAGAGGTCCCGACAGGGCCCTATGATGGTGGTGGTGGTGGTGGTGATGGTGGGCATGCGTCAGTATCTGCGGCTGGGTGAACGTCGGTGTCTGCACCAGGGATTGGTGCTGGTCTGTCTGGAACGCACCCAGTGTGGGCTGGGCCTGCGTGGGCAGCATGGCCTGCAGCTGTTGGAGCGTCAGTGGCTGTCCAGGGACTATGGCAAACGAGGGGGGCGACATCATGCGTGGCGGTGCCAGAAAGATGTTGGGCCTTGGCCCCAGGTTCTGTGGAATGACAAGCGTCGGGGTGCCAGGCGGTCCTGGATGTCCCCCATAGGGCCTGGTCCCCGTCTGAGGTCCCAGGGTCAGGCCCGTGGCATGGGGTGGTCGCAGGGCCAGCTGGACCCCCTGTATCTGTCCCAGAGAGCTCTGGGTCTGCCCCAGTGCGCCTTGTATCAGAATCGGGCTGTGACCCAGGCCCGGAATGTACTGGTTCAGCAGGAAAGTGCCGTGCGCAGGTCCAGCCGGAAACATGCCCGGCTGCGGTGCCGCGGGGTTCCCGATGAGCAGCGGACTCCCCGTGTTGAGCCCCATCGCGGCTCCGCGCTGCACCGTGGTCGCAGGCTGCGGCGCCGGTACAGGCGCGGGCCACGGTGTGGTCTTGTGCTGGGCCGCCCGTGGAGACTGGGACCGGGTGGTGGCCGCTGCCGAAGGCGTCGTCATGTTCGCGCTGCCGCTCGACAGCTTGGGCAGGATCTGTGGCTGTTTCGGCTGGATGAGCCGGGGGGCACCAGAGGTGCGAGGACTGGGGCTGGCCGAAACCACCTGTGCGACGCCGGGTCTCGACGCAGGTGCCTGCTGCGGCGCCACGGGCAGAGGGGCGACGGTGGCAGTTGCTTTGGTGGTTGCCGGTGTCGACGCCGACGATGAGGGTAGGCTTTGGCTCCGCGAAGACACGGCGCTGGGGCCCGTCATAGACCACGAAACAGAGACAGGCACAGGGGCGGGGAGCGGGGACGCCGAGGGTGGTCGGCTGCTGGCCGGAGAGGTGCGAGTGGAATGTAGCGAGGCACCCGGCAGGCCATTGCTGGCACCAGTGGCAGGTGGCGGAGCGGCAGGGGGCACCGTCGAGGAGCTGACCAGCAGCTGCGGCGAGGAGGAGGCCGAGACGTCTGAGCTGGTGGTCGCGGAAACGGCGAGGGCCACGGTGTCGCGTGCCGTCGCTTGCTCTGCGTGCGCTTGCGTGCGTACCTTGCTCTGCGACGCCGGGGAAACCTGCCTGGTGCGGGTAAACGGAAGCGGACGGTATGTGTTGCCGCTGCGGGCGAGCACTGCAGTGCAGAGGGCATCGTAAGGCTGCGGGCTGGTGCTTAAAGTGGCAGCGAGATGGCGCAACTCGACCGGTAGGGCGTCGAGAAGAATGGCATGCATTAGCAGCTGGTCCGTGATGCCATTCACCGCAAGAACGGCGTCGAGCTGCATAAACCATACCTTGGGGTAAGTTGATTGGTACGGCGGCACTGGTGGGCAGAGTTGGGGGAACATGGCCGCGGGCCGCTCGGCGAAGGGCGTGTTCTCCGGGTCACCAATGTAGCGGCGAGAGAAGAGAGAGACGTGAGATGACGTCGAAGGCGGCCGATGGGGCCGTGCCGATCTCGCCACTTTATTCTAGGCCTGAAGCGGAGCCACGTCGGCTACCAGCGTCCGCCACGCCAGGCGTGTCAGCTCGAGCTCGCGCCAGTTGCGCGAGAGACGCGGCGCGGTGATGGAAAAAATGACGATGGTGATGATGGCACTACACTACAAAGGCTACGAGGGATGAACGGGTGTAACCATAAGGAGCTTCGCCCCTAAAAAGTGCTATGGTACGACATCAAAGGTGAAGCAACAGCAAGTAAGCAATGTGGCTGCGGTAGTCTACCTGGCAGTCTAATGCATAGGACCCCAAATAAATGCAAAATCTCGACCCTTGATTACCGCAAGTATAACTTTTCGGTGCAAAGGCAAGCAACGTGCGCAACGATATTATGATAATGTTCAAGGTCTCGCGCTTCCACAAAATGTTTTCTTATCGATGCATCTCTTAATCAGAAATCCCACGTCGAAACATCGCACTTTCTGCAAACTGTAGTCATTGATTGATTTGTGGGGTTTAACGTCCCAAAACCACTATTTGATTATGAAAGACACCGTAGTGGAGGGCTGCGGAAATTTTGACCATCTGGGGTTCTTTAACGTGCACCCAAATCTGAGTACACGGGCCTACAACATTTCCGCCTCCATCGGAGATGCAGCCGCCACAGCCGGGATTCGATCCCGCAACCTGAAAACTGTAGTCGTAACTATAGCCATAACATTCAACCTTTCAAGGCTCCGAGATTAGGACCATGCATTTAGAGAACGAAAACTGAACCGAGCCAAGCTTCCCATTGACAACTCCTGTGGTGTAGCATAGCGACATAAGAAATTTATGTGCATTTATTTTCATACTGACTGTTATATTGACCAAATGTGTTCTGAAAAGCTTAATTTTAGTACTTATTCATCGTGTTTGCCAATTTTAGAGCCGCATGTCCAATTACCTGTTAAATGTGGCGTCCCGCAAGGCAGCGTCTTGTCACCGCTTCTCTTTAACAGCGTACTTGCTGGACTTCCAGGCCGATTACCGCAAGAATGTGACTTTCCTATAGGCATAGCAATTTATGCTGATGACATCGCACTCTGGGTCAGTGGTCTGTCACAACATGGTCCACGTATTTGTGATATATTGCAGCGAGCTCTTAGTGCAACTTCAGAATACTTGGTGGAAGTTGGCCTGCAGGTTTCACCTGCCAAGTCAGCTGCCATTGCGTATTATCCAAGGCAACGCGCTCGTCGAAGCCTTAGCAGGCTTTACCTCAGAGACACACTGATACAGTGGGTACGCCAACATCGTTACCTAAGTGTAATCATCGATGATCGCCTTTCTTGGCGCCCAGCTGTTAAAACTGTGAGGCGAAAAGCGCTGTCCCTGTTCAAGTATGTAGGCGCCTTGACTGCTAGGGGTGAGGGAATTTATCAGAAGACGGCCCTACAGGTTTACCAATCAACTGTACTCTCTTGCGTGATGTATGCTTTGCCAGTCTTGAATGTGCCGCCTGCTTTAATGTCCCAGCTTGTGCTGCCCTCCAAGTACTGCCCTCCAAGTACTGTTTGGCTTACCTCACGAAGCACAATCCATCCCACTACTGACTGACGCACGCCAGTTGCCGCTAAAGCTGCAAGCTGACCAGATAGCGC